GGGAGGGTACTTTCTGAGACTTTTATGGAGCTGGAAGTCATGAGCTATCCAGTCACACACAAGTTCAGGGTTCCTTCCATGAGCCTGGAACTTGAGGTGAAAGAAATGTTGGGGTGAAAAGGAAGACTGCTTCCAGTGCTTGATGCTCGACCTCTCTGGTCGCTTCCTTCCTCCTCCCTCGGTCCTGCTCTCTCCTGATTCCCGGATAGAAGGGCTCTGAGGGAAACCCTAAGGACATCCAAGAAAGGAGATCTAGGAGTGAGCGAGGAAAACCTGGGGAACTGCAGTGCTCTAGCGCGCGCACACACACGTTTGTTTTCCAAAGAGGAGCAAATATGTAGTATTCACGACCGTACCCTGTAGAGCGCACACTCAATTGCCAGAAGTTAATAATTAACAAGCACGTAAGGCTTATCTACTAAGAACAGGGGCTTGAACCTCTCGCACTGTTTAACACAGCAGGTGTCCTGTCTCTAAAAACACAGGCCCAGTAGTCATTTCCCCGGGTAATTGGTCATGTGAGCAGACTGGGGAGTCAAAAACGGCCCTGTCTTATTTAAACACACCTTCATGCCTTAGTGCATACCTGCTTTTACTCCCATTTATTTGTTCCTTATGCGGTCTTCCCATTGTGCAAAAAATCAAGGTCACGTATATATAAATATGACTTCCCCACCTTCCTCCCTAAAATCTGGAATCTCGGTTCACTGCACACCTAAAATAGCTTTTCAGGTGACATGTGAAAGGCGTTTTCAACCATGAGGAATATTGTCAAATAGATGCACGTCCACTACAGAGAGGCGATCCTTCCTCCTGTGACAAATGGGGTGAATTCAGGTGTGGAAGAGTTAACATGCCTAAAGAGAGGCTAAATTATGATAGAGGGCTTTATGGGTCTCCCTGGAACCATTAACGGCCTCAGTTTGCATTTGCACTAATGGAGTATTTAAATTTTAACAAGAAAGGTATGTTGAGATTTGCAGATCTTTTTAGTCTAGAAATGATAAATGGCTCCTTTTTGTTTCATGGAAAGCATGACAGGTTGAGAGGTCTGAATTCATTAGAATATTTTACCTCAATGTATACACTCTATACTTGTCTAGGGTGAAAAACCCTTGCGTTTCTGTCTGAGTTGCTTAATTGGCATTGTTGAGTGAATTCTCTGTGCTCCGGGTCTGAGCTTTGCCTTGTCATGCTGGGTCAATAAGTTAATAAGGAAACATATGTATTCAAATTAAGATTCATACAATTTCTGCCTTTGTTCTAAATAACACTTAAATTGTGACACTGATTTGAATGACTTCATCGGGGGTTACAGGCAGACCTGTTTTTCCACTGTGGTTTGTCATTTTTTCCTGGGTTTTAATTAACTTGTCATCACTCATACAATTAAAACTTGCCTTATATTTTGTAAACCTCTGCCTTCAGGATTTATAATTTAGCAAATGGGTCGGTGGGGTGGGGGGGAGGACTGAGCAATAAGGAAACCATTGAGTAAGTCTTCCATTTCGCTAGTGAACAGCTGATAAGAAGCAGTATCTCTCTTTTAGGTGCAAAATGTATTTAGCTTGGGTTCTCTTTTCAGCTGAGCGAGTCCCAGTGAAATTATCTTTTAACGATGCATAATCACTACCTACCACTTATAAAATAAAGACTACAATGAGCTCAGGAGCTATTTTAGTGGGAAAGAGGGATGCTGGAACAAGCTCGTTGTCTGCACCCATTTCAGAAATAAAATACCTTGCATCTACGTGCATCTACTTCTTTCTACTAGGAGTTGCATTTTGCAATGAAAGCCCCTTTGGCACCTGGGCGATTTGTGTATTCCCCCTTTTGTGAAGAAGGACATTAGTAATGGGCCCTCCCTAGCTCATAGGATGACAAAGCATATCTACACCCCTCCTAGAGATTCCCTCTCTTTTTTCACAGTGAGGATACTGGAGTGTTGGTAAAAAGAAGAACTCATTGTAGTCTCTGACGGAGAGTGATGAGCAAGATAAATCCCCAATCTTTCTTCTGACTGCACCCCCAACACACCTCAGGTCAACCCTTCCTTAACCTTGGCTTCTCCAGCTCTCTAGGAAGACCATACCTCTTCCCCTTCCTGAATTCCAGGTGAGGGCCCAACAACTGTACCCTGTTGGAGGAGATGAACCTCCATTTTTTAATGCTCTGGGCTTAAATGACATCTGGGCACATGGTCGGCCAGCCCTGTGACTGGGCAGGCAGAGACCTTCACAACCTGCTGTGTTGCAACCACTCCACCGTGGAAGTGAGCCTGTTCTGGAGTCTGGCTTCATTGGCCAGGAGATAACAAAGAACCTTTCCTTCTCGGGTCTCTGGCCCCAGGTACAGCCCACGGGAGGTACTGAATGTGCATATGGAGTTTATAGATGGACGAGAGAGGGTGAAAATGTTGTGTGTGGAAGGACAACCGGGGTGAGGTGGGGGAGTCATCAAAGGGCATCCGAATGAAAAAAAACTGATAAAGAACCAGATGGTCCACTATCTAGACACTCTTTCCACGCTTACCAATCATGCATACATTCTGCATTATTGTTCAATGGCAGCCCTTTCCATTTACATGGCTAATCTTTAAATTACTGAACTAAACAGTAGATTTCAGAAAGTGGAATGAAATAGCCCTCCATTCAAGGTTGAAAAAGGCACAAGGGCTCAGTTTGACAGCTATTTGGGGCCTAAGACAAATTAATTTTCCTCTATGGCCTTCAGGTGCTGTCCCTGAGAGATAGGTTTTAAGTATTCTTGCAAACGTTTGAATCACTGCACTACAATCACAAGATTCTATTGGTACAAATATGCTCAAAGGTTACCTAAAATCAGATTACACTCATAAACTAAAGAAAGAGAATTAAAGCATATGTTAACAGTGCAGGCAGGCTTTATTTTTCAGAGAAAAGGTTTTCCATCCTTTCCCTTGTCCTAACCTGGTAATCAGTCCCTCAATTCAATTTCTGCTTTTTGGGGTTTTTATGTTTGTTTGTTTGTTTTGCTTGTTTTTAAATCCAGCAGCTTAATGTTCATAGTATGCGTGTTCGGTGTCAGGCAGACAACAATGTATCCGTAGAGCTCATAATTCCAAAGCATTGACAAAAAAGTAATAATTTTGGATTTGGATAACATCTCACAATAGAAGCAAACAAAAGAAGTGATTCAAAAATAATTTATTTATTGGAATAAAAAGTGGAGCTTGTTGAAAAAATAAACCCTTGAAGATTAACAGAGAATCAGCAGTTTAATGACATTAAAATTGGGGACCGGCTTGTATTTCAGCATAGCCTCCAGAACCCTTAGTGGCTAGTAGCCCTTAGGCAGTGCAAACAAAAATCCATCTGCTTGTTGGCTTTGAAAAGTACGAAGAGGTCTATGATAAATGTAACATTCTCCAGAATTTTCTGTGATGCCCACTATTTCAAACGAGGAAGACAATCAATAAATAAGCATCTGGGTTACAATGTAATCAGCCCAACTTATACCTAACAGCCCAGGCTGAGCTTGCTGATTACCACTGTTTACTGGAGATGTTACATTTTTTCACAGTCATTGAAAACATCAAATGAATACTTAGTATTTCTTTTATGTTTCAGGTCCTTAGAGAAAGTCAAATGAAAACTCCTTTCACAGGCCTCTAGAATTCTGTTTGCAAGCATGGATGGATGTGGTCTGTGGGTTAAAAGGATCCAGAAACATGGGGGCTCTACTGAACAACATGGAAGGCTGTTAAGTCTATTGTGGGTGGAATCAGGGAGGCAGCAGAGGGGGAGTATGGAATGGGAGCCGCTGGGAGAGACAATGGTTTGGCGTAAGGTGTTACATATGAAATAAACAAAACGAGACCAAAGAAAGACTCTTGTTGCATCTCTGGAGAAGATCCAGCCAAATCCCACAATTAGGCTTTTGGAATACAGTATAGTTGAAAAGACTGGAATGATCATTTCTCCACCTTGGTCTTTAAGAAGCACTTACTAAGCATTCACATTGGGAGGATTCAAGCCTGTTGATTTACGGTATTACCAGCATTTCCCTATAGACTTATAGGTTATTCTTTCGGTCTTCCCAGAGAGCCCTCGATAATCAGATGGCAAGAATCCAAGTCTCCAAGGTCCCTAAACCCACAGAGCCTTGCTTAGATGGGAGGGGGAGGAAGAAGGGAGAGTAACAGGCGATGAACTGCTTCCCAGCCTGCCATACACATGCAGAGCCCGACTCCCTGGAATAGATCCATCTTGCTTCACCAGCACAACACACTGTCACAAGCAACCACCACAGTGCTGGCAGAGTGACCTCTGGAGGAGCCCCAGCTGGGACCTGAAAGCTGAGGCAGTGTATCACCCACAGGGGGACAGAGTCAACCTGCCTGCTTGCTAGGCCCCCTCGGACCCTCTGAAAAACTACCCGAGCAGTCTTTTCACTGAGCTTTGGAAGACGCTGCAGCAGGAGCTGCAGGGGAGACCAGGACCCAGGAGAGCAGTCTCTGGAGGAAAGGCCGCATCTGTTGCTGGGCGTAAGGAAATGGCCCTGTTCACTCACGTGGTCGAGACTTAATGGGATCAATAAAGCCATTTCAGAGTTCCTCACAAAAACCTGAGCAAAGCAGGCATTTTTAAAATCAGGGAGGCCTGGTGACTGGAAAGGGAACCGGAGATGGGGCTGTAGAGAGCCGGTCATGCCTGATGCTGGACAGGGCAGGCGTGTTCATATTGTGACAATTCACTGAGCCGACTGTCTACCAGGGGCCTTCACAAACGTTCATGGAAAACTGAAATGGAACAATAACGAATCCTCCCCCTCCCACTCCCCCACAAAAAATTTAGAAGCCCCCCTCTCCATGATATGTGCCCTTTCTTCTATATAAAATACATCTTTTTTTTTAATTTAAAGGATTAAGAAAGCAGATCTGAGTAAGTCCTAGTAAAAAACGCAAATAAAGAGTAAAGACCCTTCAACGAGTAAGCCGCTGGACAAACCCCGGGAGGAATTCCCACTCAGAAAGGATGATCCGTAACAAAGCAGGAGGATAATTCTGGCCCGAAGGTGACTGCTAAGCCACCTCCCTGCCTGCGGCGCCGCCACAAGTGCATGACTGCACAAAGGCAGAGCTCGGAAAATGGCTGTATTTGAAATTTCTCCCCGGTGCTCGCCTGCTCTCTCTGCAGGAGCAGCCGGAACCGGGCCCGAAAACCAGTGTGGCTGCAGTACTGGCCCTGGGGGCTGTTGTGAGCGGTGTGACCTTGAACCAGTCCCCTATCCTTCTCCCTGGCTCCCTGGCTGCTCATTTCTAAAATGAGGGTGATGGATGACCCTGCTCCCGGCACCACCCCGAGTGGTTCGGAAGATTTCATAGGTAGAAAAACCCCTTCGAATGGTGACGTTTCCCAGCAACGTTGCTGACAAATGACTCTCCATCAAAATCCAGAAGTCATTGATTCTACAGCAACCACACCCAAAGTCAGTCCGGGTGAAATCTTCCACGGGGCGGGGGTGGGGTGGGGTGTGCAATAAACCGAATTGGAACCTCTCTGAGGAAAAGCCTGGAGTTTGTAAAGGGCTGCTGAGATGCTCACAGAAGCATTTCACGATAAAAATAGGAGTCTTGATCCCCCCCCCCCTTGAATAAAGCACCACTATGGCTTTCTGCTAAAAAAAAAATTTTTTTTTTTAAAGCTGAAACCTTAAATCAGTGCCTTAAAGTTAAACAAAAGAACCAGGTTTGCAACTCCAGTCCCCACCCTGCAGCCCTTTGTTCTGGGGACAAGTGTCTGATTCCAAATGCAGAGGCAGATGACAAGAGTTTATGCTTTGGGGTTTTTTCATTGAAAACAAGCATTTTCTTCGGTCTTTTTTTTTTTTTTTAATCGGGCGGTGGGGATAGCGGGGAACCGGGGCTGCGTGAACGCCCTTTGTCCGCCCCGGGCTGCCGTACAGACCGCAGTGCGGACTGCACCACGCCCACCAGTCGGCAGAGCCGCTCCTGCACCACCCGGGAGAATGGAGCCCGGGCTGGGGCTGCGGGGGCACCGGGCGACCTCGGCCCCGGGAACGAGGAAGAGGGGATGGCGGTGGGCGCGCCGGGGATGAAAGACAGGCAGACACTAC